AGCTTGGAGCAATCCCAGCTGGGTCACAAGTGGCTACAAGGCTCTGGGAGTGGGGCTCATGGGTTTGGGAGTGCAGGTGGTTTTTTCCTTGATCCTTCTGGTTACAGCTCATAGGCAAAGGAGGGAGAGATCAAGCAAGGCAGTAAACAGAAGACTGCAGCGCTGGTGCCACTGTCAAGGCTTCAGGTTCTATGACCACAGTCTGCTCTTTGAAGAGAGAGGCAGTGGTCTGTTGGGAAGAGACGGCTTCCACCTCACTCCACTGGGGACAAAGCTCTTCTCAGCTAGAATGGCCGACTTGCACAACTGGGCTTTAAACTAAGCTTGCTGAGGGATGGGCGGATAACCACTGGAGCAAGCTCACCAAGCATCAACTGCAAAACCAGCAGGTTATGGTACTCAAGGGAACACAGTTCTACCCCAGCCCAGGAATAGAGCTTCTCCATGAGTACAAGGAAGCCTAGGGCCTCCAACAGCACACTTGTGTGCCTGTACACTAATGCTAGGAGTTTCGGGAATAAACAGGAGAAGCTGGTCCTTCTGTTAAACAGAAATGACTATGATCTCGTAGGGATCACAGAGACCTGGCTAGACTCCTTCCATGACTGGACTACTGGTATAAATGGCTATACCCTGTACAGGAGAGATCGTGCTGAAAAAAAAGGGCAGGGGTGTAGCTGTATGTGAAGGAGAGCTACATGTCCTTACAAGCTGAGGTTGGCACCCAAGGAGGATGACTGGACACCCTTTGGATTAGAATACGAGGGGAACGTAGTGAAGGGGATACAATGGTAGGAGTCTACTACAGACCTCCAACCTAGGAACAAATGCTTGACCAAGAATTTGCCAGGGAACTGGCTGAGGCTGCATGTTCTTAGTGCATGGTCATCTTGGGAGACTTCAACTACCTGGACATCTCATGGGATGAGTACTCGCCCAAATCCAATCAGTCACAAAGCTTCCTCATATGCATGGATGAGCTCTACCTGTCCCAAGAAATTTATGGGCTGACAAGAGGCAAGATGCTGCTGGACCTGGTACTGGCCAAAGGGGATGATTTAATTAGCAACCTAAGAATCAAAGGGAAGCTGGGTGACAGCGACCATGAGTCCCTGCAGGACCACTCTCACTATCTATCACAAAGCTGGCAAGTCAGCCAGCAATGCAGTAGTCCTTGACTTTAGGAAAGCTAACTTTCATAAGCTCAGGAAACTTGTTCTTGAGGCCTTGAAAGGCCATGATTTTACAGGGAGGGCAGTTCATGATGAATGGTTGCTCCTTAAGGAAGCGATCCTAGAAGCACAAGGGGAGTCCATCCTCACCTGTAGGAAAGGTGGTAAAAAGGCTCAACAACCCCCTTGGCTCAAAAGGGAACTCATGGACCTCCTACATCTAAAAAGAAAGGCGTATAATGGGTGGAGGACAGGAAACACCACTAAGGTGGAATATACTGCACTGGTCTGCACCTGCAGGGAGCACACTAGAAATGCCAAGGCTACAACTGAACTCCATAAATCAAGGACAATAAAAAGTCCTTCTTCAGATATGTGGGGAGTCAAAATAAAAACAAGGGCAACATTGGACCCCTGCTAAACCAGGTGGGACCGCTGACTACCAACACACAGGAAAAAGCCAATCTGCTTAATGATTACTCTGCACTGGTTTTTCACCAGCCCAAAGGGACCACCCTGCCGAACATGATGAGGGATGACTGGAGTGAAGATGAATATATGCCCACCATTGGCGTAGATCTTGTGAGGGTTGAGAGGCTGGACCCCCACAAATCAGCTGGTCCAGATAGGTTGCACCCAAGTGTGCTAAAGGAACTGGCAGACATTGTAGTACGGCCAATGGCGAGGATATTTGAGAACTCATGGTGTTCGAGTGAAGTACCTGAAGATTGGAAGAGGGCCAATGTGGTGCCCATCTTTAAGAAAGGGAGGAAAGAAGACCTGGGAAACTACAGGTCAATCAGTTTGCCCTCAATCCCTGGGAAGATTTTGGAAAAAATTATCAAACAAACCATTCTTGACAGGCTAACACAAGGCAACAATCCTGAGGGACAGTCAGCACGAGTTTGTTGTGGGTAGGTCTTGCTTGACCGATCTCATTTCCTTCTATGACCAGGTGACATATCACCTGGACAAAAGGGAAGAAGTTGATGTCATATATTTGAACTTTAAAGAAGCCTTTGACCTGGTGTTCCATGATGTCCTCATGGAAAAATTGGGCAACTGTGGCCTCACCTACTCCACTGTCCAATAGCTGAGGAACTGGCTCTGAGGTCAAACCCAGAGAGTGGTAGTTGATGGAACCAAATCAACGTGGCACTCGGTGACTAGTGGTGTCCCCCAAAGCTCCATTCTTGGACCTGTACTTTTTAATGTCTTCATAAATGATCTGGACACTGAGCGGACTGGCCAAGTTCACTGACAACACCAAACTTTGGGGAAGAGTCTCCACATTTGAGGAAAGGCTGGTGATCCAGGCTGACCTTGATAGGATTGCAAAGTGGGTGGATGAAAACCCAATGGCTTTCAATATGGAGAAATGTAAGGTGCTCCACCTTGGGAATAAAAACCCACATAGCACTTATAAGCTCAGCAATGCTACACTTGCTAGCACCATGACCGAAAGAGACTTGGGGGCCATGATTGACCACAAGATGAATATAAGCCACTAATGCAATACCACAGCCGGCAAAGTGAACAAAACTCTGGCTTGCATCTACCAATGCATCTCAAGCAAGACACAGAAAGTTATCCTCCCACTGTACTCGGCCTTGGTGAGGCCGCGGCTGGAGTACTGCATCCAATTCTGGGCTCCACAGTTTAGGAAGGATGTGGAAAAGCTTGAAAGAATCCAGAGGAGAGCAATGTGCATGATCACAGGGCATGAGAACAGGCCTTATGAAGAGAGGCTGAGAGCTATGGGACTCTTCAGCCTGGAGGCTCAGGGGTGACTTGGTGGCAGCCTATAAGTACATAAGGGGTATGCATCAGGATCTGGGGGAACACCTGTTCACCAGAGCACCCCAAGGGATGACAAGGTCCCATGGTCACAAACTCCTGCAAGACCATTTTAGGTTGGACATAAGGAAAAACTTATTTACCTTCCGAGCTCTCAAAGTCTGAAACAAACTCCCCCCAAAGGTGGTGCAAACACCTATTCTGGACACTTTCAAGAAACATTTGGACATTTATCTTGCTGGGATTCTTCGACTCTAGCTGACTTCCTGCCCCTTGGACAGAGGGCTGGACACAATGATCTTACGAGGTCCCTTCCAGCCCCACTGTCTATGAAATCTACGAAATCACCTTGGCTGCCTACACCAGACTGGATAACAAGTCTCACTGACCCATAAAGATCTATAACCAGAGGCAAAATCCTTCCAGCAGGAGGATACTATTAAAAAAGTGGGGAAAAAAAGCCCATGTTCTTGTTGCTGCATATGAGTTACCGGTGCTACATTTTTAAGTGACTCTAGGAAAGTAATATTTGGGAAGGAAATAAGGCAACTGTGGTACTGTTGAACAATAGAAGATCTAAGTATCTTCTGACCAATGGCTACTTAGGAGTTTTTCCTAGCCATAAAACATGCTTTTCATGGATTGCAAAGAGCGTTGCTGGGATAAAAAACAAAAAACTCGGATCTGCCACAAGTCAGATTAAATGTATACCTATTCCAACGAGCTTGGTGAAGGAAGGTGGCTCATGCAATTATCTTTCTGTTCAGTTGTCTTTTCAACATTAGCACTGGTTCTGGCTACAGCGCTTCATAGAAGAACCAAAGAAGGAAGAGGATCATTGAAATTACCAGAAGAAAACACTAATTGAAGTAGTTTATAAGAATATAGAGGAAAGAGAGTGTTTAGTTCAGGTGAATCACTTAAAGGCACCCAAAGCAAGCTCTTTGTTACAGCCACACAGGAACCTTTCATGCTTAAAGCCTCAGGCACTAGTGTAACAGGACACACAATGTTCTCCTCATAGGTCAGCTCCAACACGTTGCTACCCTAAGCAAAAAGGTATATTATACATGAAAGCAAAGCCAAAGAGGACTAGGACCAGTAATGCAGAACCAGATCCTGGCATCTCCAACCTTGGTCAGTTTGGCTCCCATCACATCAGAAATCTAAAATTTCAAATGCAGCTGGCCTTTGAAACACAGTAAGGGCATTGCATTTATGTAGCTGCAAGAGACTAGCTCCTGTGCTGAGCACATTTGGAATTATATTCAACTCCTTGAAGTGGCTCACAGTGCTGAGGTTACAGACCAGTCGAGGAAACCAGTTCATTTGTAAACGGGGCCATACCTCCTGCTATAATAAAGTAAAATTATTTTATGAAGTTTGTCCTGAAAGTGCTGCCTTTCAATTTCAAAGCCCTTCTCCCTGGAGGATGGCAGAACTGACCACTTGGAGAATTACTGGACACCATTGCTAGTCCAAGACAACTGTTTCCAAATGACTGAAAGTATTCAACCAGACTCCCTTGCATGGTTTTCCACAGCACTTGTTCTAAATGAAAGGAATGCAAATAGCTAGATTGTCTAGGAAACAAGTGAGCACACAGCTTCTGGATACTTGGAAGAGCCTACTGCCCTGGCTTTATCAAAGTGCCACTTAAAGGGAACTGAGGACCTGTCATTTGAAATAGAAGATACCTTTGAACTATTGCCCAGCCATGGGCACGCAAGTCTATGAATATCAGAGGGTAAACCTACAACTGCTTGTGTAAGACACACAGTGTTAGTAATAAGCTGTTTCTCACAGCACTACGGACATAGCTTAGATTCTCTTTTCTATGGTCTCATTCTGGAATACCACTTTCATAAAACATACACCCTGATTTATATGACTGTACAAACCAAGAGTATAATATGACTGAGTAGGAGACCGTTTACAATAAAATGGAAATCAGATTTTGAAGTATGATTTTTTTTTTTTGTTTTTTTTTACACCAGTGGAAGATAAAAATATTCCCCCAAAGTCAAAAAGTCTAGAGTCCAAAACAGATTTATTATGTACAAATATTTGAATTCACAATGAAAATTGAGTTATGTGTTGTCTAAAAAGACCTGTCCCATTACTTCAAGTTTGGAGTTAAAGGGCTGATTGGGACAGCTCAAGGGAGATATTTTCCTTTTTGTATTGTTTTTCAAGTTTCTTTTTATCCGACCATCCTCTGAGGAAGTATCTACAGAGGGTTTCTGGCTTTCCCCTTCACTTTGGCCTGTGGTTCTTTTTAAAGTTAATTTTTTGTTTCTCTTTAGAGAGTAAAATTCCCTCATCAGGTCTTCTATTTCCCACCGCTCTTCCTTCTGTTTCTTACAACAGTGCAGGGCAGCAGGGTCTATGGGGTGAGCTTCAGTATTGAAGATATATCCACCTGCATCAAGGACGCATTCCCCATAACGTGTCAGTACTATATCAAAGGTAGATCCATCGTTGTGAATGAAGTTGTCTGTGTCAAACAGTAGATATAAGTATTTCACAGTCTCAGCTAAGAAGAAGGATTCCATACGATTATCTAGTCTATGATCCCTCAGATCTTTGATCTGTAAGAAGAGCGTTCATGTGAATTAAATTCATCCTAAATTCAGAAATTCATTTGGAGTTCCTCCTAAAAATGAAAAATTAAGCCAGCTTGCATTTCATCCCTATACCTAAGCAGACAGGATCCAGCAGTCCAGCCCCCTTTTTATTATTCAGATAACTTACTTTGATTTGATGGTGCCAAGTGTTAAACTACTTTGGATTAGAATAGTCTCATGGATAGTTCAGAGACTAGCAATCAAGAGACAGGGTTATTCTAAGGATTTCCTGCACAAGTTAGGGATGGGGGGGAAGCAGGGAAAGAGAGACTTATATGCTGACTAGCAGGCTGCCTGTCAAGAATGATGGGGTGGGGGGAAGAGGGGAGGGGCAGGGACAGAGCACCACCACCCACAGCACCGTGCTACCAC